CCTTGCTCGCTGGCATGACTTCGCCTGATACTCCCACAGCTCGGATAGCATGATTTCCATCCGGTTTTAGCCATTGGACAGCTGAGCCGAGAGCTTGGAGGATATCGGGTTTGGCATAGTTATAACCGGCTCCAGAATCCAGAACCGCTTTGATGGTTCTAGAGTTAGAACCACTACCGATGATAAGCTCTGTGCAGACGGGACCTGACCGATCGAACCGAAGGGTGTCCTTCGCGATCTGCTGGATGTGGAAGGTCATGTCTGATGCAGTTTTGGAGCGATTGATAGGAGTAGTTGCTTCAAGAGGTATAACCGTGAGGTCCAGCTTGAAAACTACGTTGGTAACACCCTCAACCATAGAGCGGTGAACCACATTGTTGACCTTTGGAGATGAGCACATGCCAGAACGGTGCTCCTTCGAGCCACACCTTTCACAAGAGATGGTGCCACTCTTCAGTAGCTTGCAGCGCGACGTAGAATGCCGGAAGCTCCCACATCTGCAGCGTTGGTTTTCCTTGTGGGGATGGTCCGCATCGCAGTCAATAGTCCGATGATCGCTGCTGAAGCACCGGAAGCATGTGGCCTTCTTTCGGGATTGTTGGTCGGTAGCGGGACTCCTAGACGGTTGGGTCTTCGAGCTCATCGACGGCTTATCAACTTCTTGCTTAATTGTAGGCGTTGGTGTACTTGAAGTGCCGACATGGAAGGCAGGCCACGGGGGAGGTTGTACAGACTGTTGCTCTTGTCGGGTTTGCGGTACTTGGCGACTATGACCCAGAGAGAGAGCCTTCTCTTTCACTCTTCTGATCACCTCCTGAAGGTCTTCGTAGGTAATGGTCTCGATGGTTCTAGAAGCTTCATCAAGAGTAGATTTCACCTTCTCGTACCACCAGTCATTATAGGGCTCGTTCAAATTGGCACGGACAGCTGAGTTGATGTGGAATGCGTGGATTTGAGCACCAGGACAGCCATCGCCTTGTGTGACTTCTCGTAGGGCTTCACGGATGCTATCAAAATAGGAAATATATCAGTGTTGCCCTGCTTTTCACCAAGTATTTTCCGTATGAGAGCTGTAACATAAGCGGCCTTGTTGTGGTACTTGTTCAGATATACGGTAATAGCCCTCCATAGGTCTCTATGATAAGAGTAAGTATTAGTATCTCTGCTGACCGTAGAGCTCTTCAGATACGAGTCCTTGATGTCACCGGAAAGATCTCCCGTAAGAGCACTGGAGTGTAATGCTCTCACAGCTTCTGGGCTATCGATAGTTCTCCATTCTTGTTGGATATGTTTGTTCCACTCTCTCAATAAGGTTGTCAAGGCGACGCGTGGATCTTCGCCGCCCATGAATGCTTTATAGCCTTTCCTCCTCCAGCTGTCGCCCAAATCGTTAGCGCCCTTCTTGATGGCTCGCAATTCCACTTCGGTGATCTTGTCATTCGATGCCTCCCTCGATACTAGGACTTCGCTCGGATATATCCGACGAGTATCACCCCTTGAATGAGATAGAGGGTAT